AATAAATAAAAATTAAAAATACTAAACAAACTAGAAGCTCTACATGCAAGGGGGAAGGGAATTTGTTGACTGATAGGTATCACCTCAAAGTGACGGGGCACTAAACTATCTTGTTATATGCCCCCAAAAGTCAGTCTCCAGAATGGACTCCTCATTATCTCCTGCTTAGGTTCAAGGTTGGGAATGCAATGCATTCTGGGAGTGTAGTGGGACAAGGCAGCTAGGTATTTAGCATGCAGACTTTTATCTTTATACTCAAATTTTCAACAAGGCAGCCTCTCCCTTGATTTTAAGAGTCAGCTTTGTCCACTGCATTTCTCTATTCCAATTTTTGTTGGCATCACTATCCGCCTTATGTATTATGCCTTTGCTGTCTGTTATAGTGCCGCTAACAGAAATGAAGATGCACATTCATTTGCTGTTAAGCTTAGGAATATGCACAGCTAAAGGGCACAGACCTAAGTCTCAGAGAATTGGAAATAGGTTGTAACTCTCACTTATTATATAATAATAAAATACAAGTAACTTTGCAAATTTCCTAACCTGTCTAAGCCAAGTATTCCTGGCCTTAAATAAAATTAGAAAATTGAAACAACTACCTGATAGGTTCCTGTGAGAATTAAATGAGATAACAACCTGGGCACTACTGTCAGAAAGGTGTGGGTTAAAAATCTCGAATCATCTACTTAGAAATTGTGAGAATTTAAATCTCTTTATGTGTTGTAAGTAGGGTTAATAATAATCACTATCTCATACAAGCTCATATAGTATGAGACAGATAAAATAAGAAAATGTAGGAAATTCTCCTGAAACATAACGAGCCTTGAGCAGCATTTACATTGTTGCTTATGCTCCCTATGCCCAGAATTATGCACATACATGTACCTGTGCATGTCCAGCTGATGACCCAATCAAACTAAATTCCAGCTCTTCTGCAAAAGCAGGATGAAATACTAGAAGAGGGCAACAGCAGAAGTCTGAATTCTTTTCATAAACAGATGGGTAACCACTCGGCTGGCTTCCCATCTGTAAAATAACAGAGTAAGACCAAGTATTTCTAAGGTTCTTTCCAATTCTAATGTCCCTCTTTTCCTCCTTTGTTAGACATAATTTGACATCCTATATATCTGATATCTCAATATTAATTGTGCAACTGATATTACTAATTTTCATAAATGCTTTCATATAGCTTGCTTTTTCAACTAGATATTTCATGAAGACCAAGATAAGTTGCTCTCTGACAAAAAGGAATAAAGCTGTTCCTTGGCTAATCACAAAACAAAACCAGTCTTGAGTACTGCGAGGAGAGATGGTTTCAGTTTTTATTATGTCTGAAGGACAAGGCTTTCCCAACCATGAAGTTTTGTTGTCAGGCTTTGTCTGATACCAGTTACACTCATATTACAGAACCACATTCTGAAAGTTTATCTACATCAAGCAACCTTCTGAATATGGCCTGGTTAGTGATCTATCAACAGGGAAAGCCTGTCGTTATTTCTTTAAAATAATGATTTGACATTCTGATTTTACAGTGTCATTGTGAACCTACCCTAAGAAAAAGACTCACTATGTGCTCATGAGGAGGCCTTGGTAAATTCCTCCAGATGAAGTTCACTTTGTAAGGCTTCTTGGAAAACTTACAATCAAAGAATTCTCCCACATGAAACATTTAAAGACTAGCGTTCTATAAGAAAGAGATAGATGACCAGGCTGGAGAGATGGCTCTGTGTTAAGAGTGCATACTGCTCTTCCAGAGGAATGAGGAGGGTTGTTTATAGTGCACGATCTCCCACAGAAGGGAGGAAGGCTGGTGACTAGCAGTAATAAAGTCATGCATTCACTTTGTTAAGTTTACTAAGACTTCTGCTTCTGTTCTATGCCAGACTTTGGGAATACAGGTATCAAGGGGCATTGCTCCTAGCTTTCACAAAGTTTTTAGACAATAAAAGGAACAAACAAAGTGGTCACATGGTCTTCAGGTCTAGAACTGCTAAACAGCATGGAGAGGTGACTCAGCATTGAGCTTCAAAGACTAATTGTGTGGAAGAATATCATGACATGTGGCTTCCTCTTCCGTGAAAGCAATGTCCGATACAAATAGCAATAATCATTTTTATTCACAGAACACTTTACACTTTTCAAAGTACTTTCACATCCATCATCTTCATCAATCCCAGAGAACCCTATTAAGTATGAAAGGACCACTAGTAATTTTTCTATAAGAAATTAAGCACTTGGAGAACTGACTTGCCCTAACTTACTAAACTAGTTAAATAGTTAGATTTCCATACTCTTGGTTCAAAGTTCATTTTTATTGTATCATGATGTCCTTTTATCACTGAAATGTTAGAGAACTGTTAATGACTCACTTATAGTCATAAGAAATAGCTACAGCATTTCTAGGATCTGCAAAAATAGTACCAACAATATGTACAGTTTAATATATTTATATTTGGTTTTTCTTACACCTGAAATGGGAAAATTATGCAAAAACATACATATGCCATGACTTATGAGGACTTGCAGAAGATCCGGGTTCAAATCCCAGAACCCACATGGCTGTTAACAACTGTCTGTAACTCCAGTTCCAGGGGATCCGACAGCCTCTTCTGTCCTCTGTGGGCATTGCAAAACACAGGTGCACTTACCTACATGCAGGCAATACACGCATACACGTAAAATAAAAATAATAAGTACAATATTAAAAAAAAACCTCACAATACCATGTTCCACCTTCTTTAAATTTCTCCAAAACTGCTCATAAACAATAAATTCTGGTTTGCCAAAAATTTATTTCACAAATCTTTTTTGATACAGAAGCACAGCTAGTGAAATAAGACATTTCTTGTAAAGTCATTGTGCACATTTTTCAAATAAACTTTTGAAAAGCTGAGGAAACCCTCTCCCAAATTATTGTACCATCTGGGAGCCCGTAATTCTGCCATTTCATTTTCAAGTTTGAAGGAGATGGACAATGCATTCATAGTATAAAAATTCAAGTTTTAGCAATCCTTCAGACATCAAACTATTCAAGTACAAAGGAAAAGCCACTCTAACAGGCTCAAAAAGAATCTACCCAGCAATATGGCTAAAAGACAACCTGTCCAAAATAAGATTTTGAGTAAGAAGAAGCAGGTTGGTGAAAAATTCTAATATTTACTCTGGGGTACAACAGTGCTCTCTCTAAAGTGGAACACTACTCACATGGAATTACTTTTCCACTTCTAAGAGGGGGAAAACAACAACAACAACAACTCCCCCCCAACAACAAACTTCATTGAAACTACTGCATAAGAACACACATTTACAAATTAAATAATTAGCATTATCTTACTTTATAATTTAATATGAAGTAATTTCAACACTATCTCTAAAAGTATTATGTTTATACTGATCTCAGTCACATACCACAGAGTTAATGAGCTATACAAGGTATCTGAGTCTAAAAATAGGTATTCTGTTCTCATTCTGAACTAGTCAGATTGGTATTTAAATGAAATGTCATCAAATGTTGCATTAAATGTACCAGAATGAAAAGATTAAACACAAACGTCAAGCTTATCATGTAGAGAGAATGCCCCCTGAAGACTTGACTGTACTCCTTAATCGCCTCTCACACACAGAAAAATTAAAAGGGCAGAATAGACCATGAGTCCAAGACCATGGTGACTCCTGGAAGACACTTGAGAGTTTGCACAGCATAATGAAGATGGCTGGAAAGCCATCTGATGATATGGTAGCAGCTATAGGGACTCTATTTTTCTTCAAAACTACTTAGTTTCTACCTAAGTTTATGCCTTAAATACCAACGTAGATTTTACTGTGGAAAAAATGCCTTTAACACAATCAGAATTTGATGTTAGCAAAAGAAAGAAAACATCCGCTACCAAAAGATCTTATTATAAGTTGTCTTTGGTTGTCATTAAAAACCATCTTGATTAGCCATTATCACAATAATTAAAATAGACATTTTTTTTCCAGTGTTACCTAATGGAACCCTAGAACAAAAACTGAAAAGGACTTATCTCCTTCTAAAAGTAAAAACTGTTCTAAAACTTTTATTACTGATTTAATCAATTTTTACAGATTGTCTTCAAGACTCCCCTGTTCACCAAACTAAAATTTCATAAGCAAACTTTTAAATATGAAAAAATTTAATTCCCTAGCACATATAAAGAGCTGGGCATGGTGACATAGGCCTGAATGGCACTTGGGAGGGGGAAGTAGGAGGATTTGGAGCTTCAGGCCAGTCTGGGATGCATTAAGACTCTACGTTACTTAAAACAAAACAAAACAAAACAAAACAAAACAAAACAAAACAAAAAAACCCTAACAATACACATAAACAGAATATATGAAAAGGGCAACATTTTAGTTGTGTAACACAAGGAGAGATATAAATTATTTTTCAGAATTCAGCAGAAAATATTTTCTACTTGAAATAGAAATCCAGCCAGGCCATTTCTAACCCTGCATTTTCAGTATGTGTTCTAAATTCTGAAGCAGCTTAGAATGAAATTTGCTGATACTAAATATAAAGAACAAGCAAGATTTGGGGAAGAACCCAGAATCTGAAGTTTAAGTGTATGCAATTCTTAGTCTCTTAAAATATAAACTAGAAGGGGCTGGAGAGATGGCTCAGCAGTTAAGAACACTGGCTGTTCTTGCAGAAGACCCAGGTTCAAATCCCAGCATCCACATGGCAGCTAACAACTGTCCGTAACTCCAGTTCCAGGGGACCCAAAGGCCTCTTCTGTCCTCCGCGGGCATTGCACAACACGGGTACACTTACCTACATGCAGGCAAAACACACATACACATAAAATAATAAAATATATTTAAAAAAATATAAAACAGAAGACAGCTGAGGTTAAAATCAAACATAAAATCAAAATCAGCTGGGGATATAGTTCAGTAGTAGAGGTACTTGCCTGGTCTGTACAAGGCTCTGGGTTCAATCCCCAGCATGAAAACATATAATTTAAAAAAAGAGAGGCAGAGGAGGAAGAAGAGGATGATGATGAAACATGATGTCTTCTATTTAAAAGGGGCGTGGGCTCTTCTAACATCAAGATGGAAAACCAAAGCCCTATCTGCCTGTTTTACAAATATCCATGTCCTCTCTTAGATTCAGAAATCCCCTTTCACCACTGTCTCCTGGGTTTCCTCCACCTTCCATGTCACTGAATATCATGGTTACATTCACACTACAACATTGAGCCAAAGACAGAGATCAAGTTAAGTCTCCTAAAGATTTCTAAAACTTACAATTAGCAAAAAGTAGAGGAAATATTTTGATGCCTGAGTCGCCAGCAACCCCTTCCTTTTAAAGAAATAAATTTCTTGCTTTCAAGACAGAAACTTCTAAAACAAAATGCAATAGCCACAGACAAACACACAGCATTTTAATAATAATTCTAGAGAACAATTAACTACTCTAGATTTTGCTAGTGCTTTGGAAAACAAAAGCAAAAACAGGTGAGGCAAGAATTATATGACAAAGGAATTTTTTACAGAATGTGGACAGCAGAAAAGAGATTCTGACCAACCAGAATTGTACTTTCCCTGCAACCTTAATAAGACCTGTAACAATGTTTTCAAAATGAATTTGTTACTACTCTTATTAGCTGATTTTGTTTAAAAATCAGTGTAATACAGAATCTGTGTGTGTGTGTACATATATGCTTTCCCCCTCCTTTTTTTCCTGGTGTTTGGGGTTGAAACCTGGGCTTTAGGCATGCTAGGCAAGCACTCAAACACTGAGCTTATCTGGTCAACAGCAGTATACTTCTGATTCAGTTGCTTTGCCCTGATGTTCTGAAATTTCAAGTCTTTGGATTAAAAAGAACAGAAAATGCTTAAGTCCCATTTTTGTATATTTTCACCATTACAAATGGACAGCTATCAGTCTATCATTTATTTTTTAGCTTATTAAAATACATTTTGCTATAAACCTAACTCAATCGAAATACTCTCAATATTCACAAACACAAAGGCACAGGAGAAGTATTGTAACACAGTCACTTCTATGCACATGTATGTTTACACTGCTGTGAAGTACGGCACAAAAATCAGCTCAGTTTTTCACAGAGATTGCATGACTTCATTGGACTTTTGCTTCATGGTTCATTTCAAAATTCTAAAAGTAATGTTTAAGTATTCACATTATTTACTCTATTGAGTATTCTCTCAAGAGTCAATAAAGCATTTAGCTACCTAAATGACAGTACTAAACCTTGCAGTGTAGCTAAGACTTTGGCATAGATAAAATTAAAAACCTTGTTAATTCACCAGTGTACTTTAATATTCCCTGTTAAAAGATATCAATTGCACATAAAGTCCAAGGAACTGGGAAGAATCCAGAAAAGTGACAAGAAAATGGTGACTTTTTAAAGTGCTGACGCTTTTCACACCCAGGTTCAGTCACACCAGTTGGGAGAGGTGTTAGCTATGGCTTTATTCCTTTTAAATCTTAGAACTGCAGTCACTTCCATGACATTTCAAAAACTGGACTAAGAGTGATTTTTCTTCATGATCCTAATTCTTCTGATTCTAAATCAACATTTCGGAAATAATTTCTGCAAATTTAGAAGGTATTTGGATAACTATTTGCTACTGCTCAGAGTCAAATTATTCTATCCCAGGTCTAGTGAACCAAGGATACAAACAGAAAAAAGGAAAAACAAAAGCCACCCTCTCCAAGTGCAAACAAAGTGAGTACCCGAGCCCCTTTAGATATGACATCCATTAAGAGGGCCTTTGCTCCTAATGGTGTAAGGGTCCTTGGCTGTGGTCTGACTTGCACAAGAAGTACACACAGCCCCTGAGAGGCGCTTTAGTCCTCCTTGGAAAACACTATTGGAGAGACTGTAAATGATACAGTTGCAGAAACTGTTACTGATAGCAAGCCAGGTAGTCAAAAAGGATGCAAAGTGGTTGCTGAGGCCAGTGGAACTCTCCAGTAAGAAGTAGATGATATATGGCAACCAGAGGATATAAAATACACTAGTGATTCGGAACAGAACCATGGCATAGCGCTTATCAGGACAGGCCTGCACTTCCCCAGTCTCCTCACTCTGGCTGCTGAAGCGGGCTTGCCTTTCGCTGATTTCCTTTGTGTGCTGTTGGCAGATGCGGAAGATGTTGAAATACGTGAAGCAGACAATGAGGGCTGCTGGGGCATACAGCATCATCACGATGAACAAGGTGAAATAGGGGTCAGTGTGCCAGGACTCTGCACACCACTGAAACACATCTCCATGATATCCAGGTTTGCCCCAACGGAAAAAGGAAGGCAGGAAGACCAGGGTGGAATACAGCCAAATCAGAAAAATACACAGACGTAGTCTCCAGGGTGTAACCAGGGTATTATAGGTTAAAGGTTTAGTGATGGCAATGTATCTGTCAACACTGATACAAGCCAGAGAAGCCATGGAGACACTCTTCAGAACTGATACTACAAAACCAAATATCTGGCAAGTCAAGGACTCCTCTATTGGAAGTGGGTAGTGGAGGAGTGATAAAGAGGGGACCAGGCAGCTTACCCCAACCAAGAGGTCAGCATATGCCATTGTCTGGATAAAATAACTTGTAGTGTGATGGTTCAACAAAGGTGCACAGTGAAATACAAAAATCACAATGATGTTGCCAGAAATAATCAATACAGTTAGAAAGACAATAGTCAGTACTTCCAAAAGGCAAAAACTGACAGTTTCCAAGTAGCCCAATGCCAAGAGACAAAAAGGGTGGCTGCTCTGATTACCATCCAAGGTGGAATTCATCTTGAGCTCAGGAGCGATCTCTCACTTCATGCTGCCACTTGGCTGCTGCCAACAGTTCATAGGAGCAGTTACTGTGATTGCGGGCAGCTTTACATGTGTAACAATGCCATAGGAGCCTTAGTCCCCAGGCTCCCGATGCTGCTGCTCTGGTTCATTGCCTGCAGTGCAATTTCCCTTTAAATCCTTCTTGGAATAGGGAGAGCCAACAGCAGTTGTCTGGCCAGTCCCAGACGCGGCCATAGTGCCAGGTTCACCATGCACATAGTACCAAGAGAGTAAGGCAAACTGGGGACAGTGTCTTCAGGCCAAGTGAGGGGAGGGGGAAGGGGCAGAAGGGAGAAGCCTAGGAGCTTCAGCAGGAGTTGTAATGAGTCTCCTCTGAACAGCTGATAGAAGAAAAGGAGAGAGCATTTTACATTTTGCATCCAATGTCCCAGTCAAAGAACCTAGCTAGCTCTGGCTGCCACCACCCCTTCCACCCTACCCATCCGGGTACCAACATTCCTAGCTACCCTCAGCAGTGCCCAACATAACCGGCCCTTACTTTACAGAGGAGCAGCAACAGCAAGCTTTCAAGATCAACATAAAAGCCGATTACAGATCAATCTAGTATCCTTTTATTTGATCCTTTAGGGGAGTAAAGGAACCTCCTTATGGCAATTTTGAAAACATTTCATCACAATTATCACTGATAAAAATTAACCACAATAATTCTTTTTCTCCATGAAATCCAATGCACTATTTTTACCTCTGAAAACATCTTAATAGAATCTATCTGTTTAGCTGAATTTCAGAGTGTTACCTGTAATTCTGCAGCTGAAATCCAGACAAAAGCCTCAGTAAGTCAGTCCTTAACAGAAAGCCTTGCAATGCAGGAATGTGCTTCAGCCCAGGACTGCAGAACTAAGACACAGAGGGAGGGGATAAAGGAGTAGGAGGGGAAACAGGGAGAAGGGGCTTGGGAATGGAAGAAAGGGGGAGGGGAAAGAAAAAAAACGTGTGTGCACACACTCTGGCATCTTTAGCAACTCATTAGAATTCACTGCCAGAGAGGTGGCACCCCCACCCCCACCCCAGTTTCCAGACTGCCTTTCCGGCAATGACTTGATACACCGGCAGTGCAGCATTTGAAACTGTTTTCTTGTCTGTCTGGAATCCCCCTCCTAGGTAGATAAGCAGAATTCATACTGCTACCAAGAAAAAATGGGCAGGAACCAGAGGGGAGGAGAAGAAGGGTGAGAGAGAAAGGGGAGGGAAGGGAGGGAGGAGTCAGAAATTAGGCTGAAGCACACACTGCCAGAGGGGTGATGATGAGGGGAAATTGCTATTTTCTTGTACCATTTTCCTAAGAACAAAGAACAATATCACAGAAAGGAAGCATGTTAACAGCAAGTACATGGCAACTGAGGAATTAAATTCAGTTGCACAAGAAGTTCTAGCTGGAAGGCTAAAATACTCAGTCTCAATTTTCTCTCATGATTTACTGAATCCTGGCCAGTATTAAGAAACAAAGTCCGGTTTTTCTAAAAGAGAAAAATAAAGAAAACACTGCCCAATCTGATGCTGCAAAAACAGCACATGTAGAAATCACATTGTTCTTGTACTTAACACTATTCCACAAGGGGGTCTGTCGGTTTGTCTGTCTGTCTGTCTATCTCTTGAACCGGGAGCCTTGAACATTCTAGTTAGGTGCTCAATCACTGAGTTAACCCCCAAAGCAGCATACAAATATTCAAACAAAAGAGAAAAGCAAAACTACTCACTTTTATCTACAAAAATTGCAGGAAATTTCAAGGTACAAATATTTGTAGCTTAGAATGCACAATCTTGTTTCTGTCTGCCTAAAACAAAGCCAGCCAGAATTATATGGTTACTCTTTTCTTTAAGGTAATGCCATAGATGATGCGTTTCCAACTCACTGGGAATAGGGTGCTGTATGAATAGTGTAATTTTGCCTTTTCTTTTTCCTCTGGGTACTGAACTTTCAATTCACTTTTCTGAATAAAGTACCACTCCCAGTAGAGTAAAAGAAAATAAACAAACACTAGCAACCGTAATCATTCCAGGAGGTCTGCACACCTAAGGAAAGGTTATTTATATGACCCCACTTTCATTTGTATCCTTTTTATACATGTTTTCTTATTGTGGGCAACAGGCCACCAAAAATCACAATTCCATGAATTCTGAACAGCGTGCACTGCTTACTGCGCAAAAGCAAGGACCTGAGGTATTTAAGCATAAACCCAAGAGCAGTATGTGAAAGGTCTTACTGGAAAACACTGTGAAGTATGCCTCAGCAAAACCCTAACAGCAACAGGGAGCAGTCGCCTTGTTAAAATCTGTTACTTAAATCACTGTCACTCAATGACATAACTTTTATTAAAAAAAATACTAACTTTTGCCGGTGTGGTGGCACACACCTTTAATCCCAGCACTTGGGAGGCAGAGGCAGGTGGATCTTCTGTGAGTTCAAGGCCAGCCTGGTCTACAACATAGTGAGTTCCAAGCCAGCCCCAGTACAGGGAGACCCTGTCTCAAAAAGACCAAAAAAAAAAAAAAAAAACAAACTTTTTTTATTATTTTAGCCTCTTACTATGCCAAATTTATAAATTAAACTCTATTATCATGTGCCTGTATAGGATCAAACAGTATATAAGGTTTTGCATTATTCAAGGTTTCAGGTATCCACTAGAGTTCTTGGAAGGTACTACTCAGCAAATAAGGGGGACTCTGCTGCCATTATTCCAACCCAAGTCACAATGATCTTTTCCCTCAATTATTAACAGGTTTCACTAGAACAAAAAACAACCTTTCTAAAACTAATAAAATAATTAGGGATGTTGCTTACACTTAATATGCACTACTCTGAACTGTACTGGGTATTTTCACTCATCATCTATGTTAATGCTAACAATCATACAAAGAAGGTTCTGTTATTGTCTCATTTTATAGATGAGGAAACTAAAGTCTAGGAGTATTAAATTGCCCAAGAGCAAGAGCTGAAATACAGTGACACCAAGGTTTAAATCAAAACAATCTGCCCTTTTCAGACATATGAAGTCAATTTACTGCTTTTTAAACCTAAATATATGACTTCAATTGGGATTAGAGATATAGTTAAAAAAAAAAATAGAGTACCTGCCTGATATGTGCAAGGCCCTGGATTCAAGACCCAGCAGTGCAAAAATAACATACAATAAAATAAACATGAAAAAAAATGCTCCAATGATTTTCTATTGCTTGAAATTGTAATTATGATACTTCCTAAGATCTGACACCTACTTATCTCTCCAGCCTCATCTCCCAACCTACTCTAGAAATTACCAAGCCTTTTCCCACCTCTGAGTACATGCTATTCCCTCAGACTTTTAAAACAACACCTGCTATGAAGCACCTTACTCTACCCCCAACTACCAACCTCCTGGATAATTTCAGAACATGAGACTTTTTAGAAAATTTGAATGAGCCAGGCGTGGTGGCACATGCTGTAGTCCCAGCACTTGGGAGGCAGAGGCAGGCGGAGCTCTGTGAGTTCAAGGCCAGCCTGGTCTACATAGTGAGTTCCAGGACAGCTGGGGCTACAGGGAGACCCTGTCTCAAAAAGACAAAAAAAAAAAATTGAATGAGAAAGCTTTAATGCCACTCAGAGTTCAGCAATACATATTCTTTCTTCTAAAACTCTCATGCAACTTTATAATATTTATTTGTAGTTACCTGTCTAGTTCTCTCAGGCTTGGCACAGATAGACAATCATTTTTTTAAATCAAAAAACAACAAATGGGGGCTGGAGAGATGGCTCGGGGATTAAGAGCATTGACTGCTCTTGCAGAGGACCTGGGTTTGAATCCCAGAACCCACATGGCAGCTAACAACTGTCTATAACTCCAGTTTCAGGGGATTCGACACCCTCTTCTGACCTCTGTGGGCACTGCATGACACCAGTGCACTTACATACATGTAGGCAATACACTCATACACATAAAATAACAATAATAAATATTAAAAAAAACAAATGTCAAATATACAAGTAAAAATATCTGTTTTTAGGTTGGGAGAGCTTTCAAATAAAGCCCCAGTATGACTGACTGCTAGGTGTATAGCCATACATAACCTGAAAGCCCCAAACCTAAAACACTCTTAAAACTTGGTAGTTTTTGAGTGCTGGCCTCCAATAGCTTCAGATTTTCATATTAGGGGTATTCAACTGGTCAAGTCTACATAAATGTTACAAAACCCAAACCTAAACCAAACCAGAACAGGAAACCCTAAATCTGAAACACTTCTGATCCCAAGCATTTTGAATAGGGACACTTAATGTGTATTAGGTTGAATGCTATAAAAAAATTTTGTAGGGTAAAAAATTATTAACAGTTTCTTTTATTTATTTATTTTCATGTGTATTTGTGCTTTGTCTGCATGTATGTAAGCATACCTGTGTGTGCAATGCTCAAGAAGGCCAGAAGAGGGTGCCAGATCCCCTGGAACTGAAGTATTAGAGGGTTATAGGTTGCCATGTGGGTGCTATATTCTTATAATTCAAGAAACTTTTGTAACTCATTAGATGGATAAAACATGCAGAAACTCACTGTAATGGAAGGGAAATATCTTCACATAGATGTGCTCACTTAATGTTGTTTTCATAAGTGATTTAAAAAGACCTATTACAGCAACTGCTACATGGAAACAGACAGTACAGGTTTATTTTTTTCTTGTGTGTTTGTGGGTCCTAATTTTTAATTCTATACTTTCTCTGTGTACAAAACAATGGGTTTCATTATACTGTCATACATGCCCATGATACCTGCTCATAGCCCTTCCCACGCCTCTCTACCCCTTCCCCAGTAATGCTAGTACCCTTCTCCTCCTCAAGTATGTTCTAAAGTCAACACACAATGTAATTTCTTATAAAAAAACACACATCAGGAGTATCCAGTTTGAAGAATCATGGTCTGTGTTTTGGGGCAAGACACAGACACACTACAGTATCCCTCTGGTGATATAAAAATCCATGGATGCTCAAGTCCCTTATATAAAACAATGTAGTAGGTGGCTGGGGATATATGGTAGAGTGCTTGCCTAGCAGGTACAAGACCTTGAGTTCAATTTCCAGCCCTGGAGGAAAAAGTATTATTTTTAAATAATATATATAATACTTCTGGTATACTTTAATCCTTTTAAATTACATATGATATCTAATACAATATAAATATTATGTGAATATCTGTTGTATTGTTTAGGAACTAATGATAAAGGAAAAAAGAATGTGTACCTCTGTAGTAAAGCTATTTGTATTTTTTAAATTATTTTTATTTTACATATACGAGTGTATTGCCCATATGTAAATGCACCAGTGTAGTGCCATGCCCTCATAGGTCAGAAGAGGGTATCGGATTCCCCTGGAACTGGAGTAACAGTTGTTAGCTGCTATGTGGGTGCTGGTAATTGAACCCAGGTCCTTCGCAAAACTAGTCAGTCCTCTTAATCACTAAGATAAAATAAAATTAAATTTAAAAAAAAGTAAAACACTCTGCCTAAATGATAACACTGTAACTAGTAAGTTCCATTTCTAGACTTGTAAAGTCTAACTGGGCCTCCGAGGCTTCCAGTAGACAAGCAAGTAGAAAGTATACAGACTTATTACTAGTTTCGGATATGGATGAAAACTTAATCACAGCAAAACAGTCTTAGCATTGAAATAAAATAATCACTAGAGAAAACAATGCAAACACATTTTAGAACACAGGTGAATTTGATGGGAAGGACAAACACCAAAACATGCTATTAATTCATTATTCTCTCAGTATAAATGCATTTCCATAGAAGTAGTTTTGATGTGAATTTTGGATTCTGAACACTGAATCAAAAGGAACATAAGATTTAAACATTTTCTTTAAAAAGATTTTACCTTTTTTCACATTCAAACATTCTCAAATTGGACAAGATTGCTTAGTGGGTAATGCTACCTGCTGCTAAGAATGAAGACCTCAGTTTGATCCCTGAGTCCCACATGGTGGAAAGAACTGACTTCCACTAAATGTTCTGACACCACCCTACCCCTACCCGATCCCCCTTGTTATGGCATGCACATGACACACACACAAAATAAATACATAAAATGTAAATTAAGTTCAAAAAATTTCAAGTGCTGTTGAGGAATCTAAGCAATTATCCATTCAAAATGGAGGTTTTACATTTACCTATTAGTAGAGAGGTTGCATCCTAGTAGACAAACACTTCTAAGAATCTATAAAACTTTGAAGAATGCCTTAACTTGAGAAGGGGATACTATGAAAATAAGGATTTCACTTTAGAGGAATAAGCTAAAAGGGAAGGAGTTAAAGATTACAGAATTGTTTTTCTACAAGTGTAGAAACTAAAAGTAGGCCTTCTTTACCAAAAGCACATTTCTATGAAGAATGACAAAAATTGAAAGAACACAGCTGGGTATGGTGGCTCATGTCTGTAACTCTAGCCCTTGGGAGGCTGAGGCTGCCATAGGTTCAAGGCCAGCCAGCCTGGTTACATAGTGGGTTCTAAGCCAGCTTGGGCTACATAGCAGGACCCTATTTTAAAAAATAAACAACCCAATCAACCATGAGAGAATTTTTAAAAAAATTATGGGGGTCTTTGTGAGTTCAAGGCCAGCCTGGTCTACACAGTGAGTTCCAGGACAGCTGGGGCTACAAGGAGACCCTGTCTCAAAAAGACCAAAAAATAAAAAATAAAAAATAAATTATGCATTGCCTAGCATAACTGACCTGATTAAAAACAGTTACAGTCAGAAAGATAGAGCTATACAATGGGCTAGAGGACATCCCATGCCTCTGAAGTGACTCAATCAAGGAACAAAACATGTATCCTCCCTTGTGCCACATCTTTGGACTATATTTAGGATCAAGAAATTATAAAACATTCTTGGAAGTCAGATAACCACAATGATCACACATGAATCTCAAAGAGGGTTAATGCTGAAGCTCAGCTCTCACCTCTTACCTTTGTGATGAGAATTCGGTACTTTTCTACTAAGTGGTCATTGTTATGACAGCCTGCTAGCAGCTGCCAGACTTCTCCTCGCAGAGCTTCAGGAACCCCACTTCTCACTAAGGATGATAACTGCTTTGGTCTCACACTCAAGTTGAGATGCCTAAAAATAAAGCCGTAATTCATTACTTTAGCAAAGGAAGAGTCTATGAAAGTTGAGAGAATGAAATGGTTTACAAAGACACGATAAGGCAACAAAATAAAAAAGATGAAGTGCTAACATGACATCTGCCAACTGCTGAGGCTTTAAACTATTATTTTTAAAAGATGGAAAGTAAAGGCCAGGCATGGTGGTGCACACCTTTGATCCCAGCACTCAGGAGGCAGGGGCAGGTGGATCTCTATGAGTTTCCAGCCAGCCTGATCTACATACTGAGTTCCAGGCCAGGGCCTACAGGGAGACCCGTCTCAAAATGAAAAAAAAAAAAAAAGATTGAAAGTAAAACTGGAAACCACAGCTGATGCTTTATAAGCCTGTGGCTTATGTAGGAAAGCTTTAGAGCAAAACTGCAATTAATGGACATGTAAAAATAAGAGCGTTGCCCTCTACCAACATAGACAGTGAACTGCATATCTATATATTCTCAGTTAAAAGACTTCAAGTATGTTTTCAGCAGTTTTTACTGTCTTCCTTCTGGAAACGTCTCTGAATATCTGTGGTAGATAAGAACATGGTGAATGTTAACATAAACACAAGGTATTAAAGTCTTTGGGTACCATGTCTCATCTATAAAATGAAGAATATAAAATTTGCCTTGAAATGTTGGCATAAATCTTAGTGTTTTTGCACTTAGTATCTTTTTTTTAAATAATATTTTATTTATTTTTATTTATTCTGTATGAGTGTTATGCCTGCATGTGTAAGTGCACCTGTCTCATGCAATGCCCACAGAGGACAGAAGAGGCTGTAGGATCCCCTGGAACTGGAGTTACAGACAGTTGTTAGCCACCATGTGGGTGCTGGGATTCGAACCCAGGTCTCTGTGAATTCAAGGCCAGTCTGGTCTACATAGTGAATTCCAGGCCAGCTAGGACTACAGAGAGACCTTGTCTTAAAAAAACAAAACACACACACACACACAAAAAATATATATATATATAATTTAAATAAATTAGCTTTACCATCAGACATGCTACATTAAAATTTTTAATTCTCCCACTTTATTAATTAGAATGGCTTAACTCATCTGTGAAAATGCACAAGTTCATAAGCTTTTATAGGCAAAACTGCACACAGTTTGGTATTGTGCTTAGTATATAGTAAATCCACCACTAGTCTAAACTATGATTATTACACAAATTTTAATCAATAATAGTACTGAATAGCAGTTTTATATACTTCTAATTTCCATGGTATTATGATGCTTCCTATCCGAAGGACAAACAGATGGTGAAAAATGATGAGATAACAAAAGAGACTACGGTATTATGTATCTGAAGACATGACTCAGACAAGCAGTACAATTTAACAATCTGAAGGAAGGAGAGGCAGATGGAAATCAGTTAATATATTTAAGAGAATGGGAAGACGCAGCTGATTAATGAGTAACAAAGTCTGACAACAAAACAAAGCCATTATAGGCAGTGCTGGTGGATTCATCTAATGAAACTTAGTTCAGAATATAAACAATGTGGAGATGACTTTAAACACACTATTATGAAACCATTTCAACACTGTTACAATGCTGTTTTAGAGCAGAAACCTTTTCATACAAACAAAATTCCTGCCAGCAGCAGTCTAAGCACTTCATATCCACTCAGCTGAGATCTGAACTCTGATGACAGGCATCAGCAGTCATGCCTTCTGATAGAAAAGGAGTATCAAAACTGATGGAAAACTATTCCCCTAAGTGCTTTTGTAGAATTCATGTTAAAGCTACTGTCTGAAGACAACTCATGCTGTGGTTTGCCTTTTTCTTTTGTACACATGTGACATTTCCAAATGCAGAAAGTGTCTTGCCGAAAGTATAAGGCACTGTGAGAATGCTGCGGCACATGATGCCCATGTGTAGGCCTAGCCCTCAGGGACGTGAAATTATTTTAAATGCTGAGACACGGTTTTACTAAGAATAGAGTGAAAGATTTCAGCAGTTAAAACTTCTGAGAAAAACACAACCTTAAAGTACGAGCTCATGGGGAGCTTACTTATATGACAACCCTAATCACCAGAGCACCAGAAATAGATACATGATCAGATTACTTTCAATTTAGCTTTCTTCCCCTCCAAGGCATCCTACCAAGGAAGAAGGGAGGTTACACATGTAGCCTCAGATTATCTCTAGTTATGCCAATCAACACCTGAAGGGAATACACTCCTTTTTTAAATGGCCTACGGAATAGTGTTTCCTAATCTTAGGTTTTTTGGGTTTTATTTTTTGTTTGTTTTTGAGATAGGGCATCACGCTGGCCTAGAACTCACAGAGATCCACCCGTCATGGCCTTCCAAAGGCATGTGTCACTTTACTTGGCCAAACTCTTGTGTTTGAGGCATAGCTTCCCTATTTAGCCCAGGCTGGCCTTGAACTCTCATTCCTTCTGCCTCCAATCTAGGTACTATAGGTATTACAAGTAAGAAAATCCCTACCTGGGTCTCTATGGGGGGGGAGAGAGAGAGAGAGAGAGAGAGAGAGAGAGACAGAGAGAGACAGAGAGAGAGAGAGAGACAGAGAGAGAGAGAGAGAGACAGAGAGAGAGAGAGAGAGCGAGCGCTGGAGAGATGGCTCAGCAGTTAAGAGTACTTGCTGTTCTTCTAAAGGATCTAGATTCCCAGCACCCACATGATAACTAACAACTGCCTGAAATTCCAGTTCCAGGGGATCCAACGTCTTCATCTGGCCTCTGATCGAAGACATAGGTGCACTTATATACATGGCAGGCAAAACATTCATACACATAAAAATAATAAATAAATTAAAGAATATGTATGTGTGTGTGTGTGTACATATATGTGGGTGTGTGTGTGTGTGTGTGTGTGTGTGTGTGTTGTGAGACAGGGTCTCCCTGTAGCCCCAGCTGTCCTGGAACTCACTATGTAGACCAGGCTGGCCTTGAACTCACAGAGATCTGCCTGCCTCTGCCTCCTGAGTGCTGGGACTACAGGCGTGTGCCACCACACCTGGCTTATAAATAAAATATTTTTAAGGGACTGGAGAGATGGCTCAGCCATTAAGAGCACTGGCTGTTCTTGCAGAAGACCCAGGTTTGAATCCCAGCACCCACATGGTGGCTAACAATGGTCCAATAACTTCAATTCCAGGGAATCGGACACCCTTTTCTGTTCTCAGTGGGCACTGCATGACATGGGTGCACTTACATACATGCAGGCATAACACTCATACACATAAAATAAAAATAAATTAAAAATGAAAACAAGTTTGAAATAAATTTTACGGAAAAACTGCTAATATCTGGTTTCTGTTCCCTACATTTTTATTTATAATCCATGCTTAGATACAGTTAGACTCCACGAGGAAAAAATATCTAACATTGGGAATTGTCAACAATTAGAAGCCAAAAAAATGTTTTGAGCATGAAATGTTTCCCATCATAGTGAATCTTTTTTTAAAAAAATATTTATTTTTATTTTATGTGTATGAGTGTATTGCCTACTGTAGGTAGGTGCACCCGTGTCGTGCAATGCCTGCGGAGGACAGAAGGAGCCATTGGATCCCCTGGAACTGGAGTTACGGATAGGTATTAGCTGCCATGCGGGTGCTGGGATTCGAACCTGGGTCTTCTGCAAGAACAACCAGTGTTCTTAACTGCTGAGCCATCTCTCTAGCCCCCATCATAGTGAATCTTAAGCAAATTTGCTACATATGTGGCCTACTAGAAGAGTATTTTTTGGTTTAACTGTTACAAATATAGCACAGAAAGCATACAGGTTGGTATCTTCAAAAAGCAAACCAATCAAGTCTCACTTGTCCTACACAACACCAACACTTACATTCTGGAAGTCCATATCTGTTTTGTAGTCCTAAGCACATTTTGCACTACAGGCTATAAGGGGAGTCTATGAATTTTGAAGTGTAGTGGACTTCTGATAGCTTGGCAAGTCAGAGGCAGCACTGGCATTATATTGGTGGTTGTACTGCATACAACTCCACTGGGTATCATCAACCAGCTAGCCATTCCTATCTTCTTCAATGTATTGGGCGTCTTTCCTTTTCTGCTTATGAAGTCCATGTCTGGATACTTTCTCCAGCAATGAAGACTTACTGAGCTTCTGACTCTGGGATTGATTCAGGTCTTCACTGCTGTCCTTATCAAATGTCTCAGAATAAAGATTCTAGAATGAAACTATACCTGCAGGTTTCTATTATCAGCTTCAAATTGAGTATTAGGTTAAAGTCTCTAGCTATAAAATGAGAATTACAGATAAAAAGCATAGTTATTCTATTAAAACTTACCATTTTGAAAGCAGTTCTCCCCATGTTTCAAGAATTTTTTCTGCACATTCTTTGGATACATCACCAAATCCACTCAAGAGAGGTTCATCATTATCTTTAATAGGCAAAACATACAAAAAACTTAAAAGAGGTGGCTATGCTAGTCAAAAGGAAAATATACAAATCAAATCCAAACTTTACTGGGAGCATAAAGCCATAACTTATCTTCTTAGTGTTTATATACATATGTGAATAAAACTGGTCCTACGTACAATGATTTTGTAACCTCTTTAGTTCTCTTTTGCTTTCTATACAGGTTTTTATTATTTCAATTATATGAAAGAGTCATTTACTTCTAAAACTACCAAACTCAAAATATGGTATGTTCTCTCTCCATCAAAGTAGCTTTATGTATGAAAATATACAGCTATTTAAATATATACTATTTAAAATAGTAAAAGAAATAAAAAACTTCAGCCCACTTAAGTCTAACAAAGCATGGAAAGTGGTGGGATAAAAGGATACATGTTTGTTTTTTAAAAACTATTTTATTTATATTATTTTTATTTTATGTGTATGAGTGTATTGCCTGCATGTAGGTAAGTGCATCCATGTCATGCAATGCCCGTGGAGGAAAGAAAAAGCCGTTGGATCCCCTGGAACTGGAGTTACACCAGTTGTTAGCTGCATGTGCGTGCTGGGATTCAAAGCCGGGTCTTCTGCAAAAACAACCAATGTTCTTAACCGCTGAGCCATCTCTCCAGCCCCGGGATACATGTTCTTATTGAATCTTTTCTGCTCTTCTCCTCCATTCCTTCCTCCCTTGTACTCTTCCATGTTTGAAAAAAACATAATGATAGCTAACACTTTGTATGCTAATTAAAAATTAATTATGATATACGTATAAAAGGCATGTAGGCATTTATATTTGCCCAATGATACAATAAAATAAAAATATGAATTGTTAAATGTTCAGCATGATCTACATGAAGAAAACGTGAAACAGATGGGAACAGAGTATACCAAGACATTAATAATTACCGCCTCTCAATGAATGATGAATTATTTGAATTTCTTTTTTTTTTTTTTGTTGGGACAGGATCTCACTATATAACCCTGGCTGGCCTAGAACTTGCTATGTAAACTAGGCTGGCCTAGATCTCACTTGCCTCTGCCTCCCAAGTGCTGGAATTAAAAGTATGTGTCACCAAGCCCAGCATGAATGATGAATTATGATGGGTATTTTTCTCTGCTCTACTATGATTTGATGATTTTTAAAATGTTCTACAAAATGAAATACATTAATTTGTAATAGAAAACACATTTATTGAAAAGAACAAAATAATTTAAAACGTGTTATTAAATTATTTAAGAATTTAGCGTATAAAGTATGAAGATGGTGAAAAAAGTGACACTGAGGGCTGAGGATGCAGCTCGGCGACAGCACGTGTGTTTAGCATACCTGAAGCCATGGGTTCACATGCAGCACCAAAGCAAAGAAAATAAAAGGTGAAAATGACATAGTATTTACATAATCAACACGCTGGACACTTCAGGGGTTTTCAGTGTTTTCCTATGAACAGTATTAATTATGATTCTATCTCACTGTTTCTTTGGGCATATGCTAGAAGTGGACTTTTTGAGTTAAAAACACTTATTTTTAAGGATTTAAAAATTGCCTAACCCACTGTCGTCTTCTTCTTCTTTTTTTTTTCGGTCTTTTTGAGACAGGGTCTTCCTGCAACCCCAGCTGGCCTGAACTCACTATGTAGACCAGGCTGGCCCTGAACTTACAGAGATCCGCCTGCCTCTCCCTCCCAAGTGCTAGGACTACAGTCGTGCGCCACCACGGCTGGCTAACCCACTGACTTCTAAAACAGTTCTACTAATTTACACTTTTACTAACTGGGTACAACAGTACTTGTTCCCATGCATCCTCATCAAGCAAGTTCTTTGGAGATGTGGTGGTACCTGACCTACCTAAAGATATTTAAGCCTCTGATGATCATATCACGAACTTTCATTCCTACTAGAGAGAACAATGATTTTAAAAACTCTGAAGTCCATGATGCCTATGTATCACTCTATACATGAATAATGAAGAACAGAAAATGGTTCAGGATACTAAGGTCAATTTCTCCAACTTCATTAGTCTGCCAGTGTGCCACTACTTCGTAATCTCTTAACCTTCCTTTTTGTGGTTCTTTGAGACAGGGTGTCCCTATAGCCCCAACTAGCACGGCACTCACTACATAGACCAGGCTGGCTTCAATTTCACAGAGATCCATCTGCCTCTACCTACTGCATGCTAGGATCAAAGGCATGTGCCACCAAGGCTGGCAAAAATATCTCAATTTTTAACTCATTAAAATGTCAATCACATATAACCTATGAGGGAAGACATATATAAAATATTCTAAAATGGTCCAGGTATTACTGGTGAGAGCCACTCATACAAGGCAATCTGTATAATATCAAGAGAGAGTATGTTATAATTTATAAAAGTGGCAGGAAGATGTAGGAAATCAGGATGCCAGGCCCTAGGGTGAGATGAGCCTCAAACTTTCAAGTCCAGGGTTCATTCTCTGCTAAAGGGAGGGGCACTGAAAACAGTGGCTCTGATATACCCTGTCTTGCAGAACGCTGCCAGATTGGCAGGATAAAGCGGCCTGGTCATAAGTGCAGGCTCACTCCTCTGTGGGAAAGCTTCTTGGTCAACAACCCTTAGCTCATCTCCTTGTCCTGAACAAGTAACTCAGCTATCCTTAGCTAAGAGATTAAGCCAGGTTAAAGATTAGCTCAGGTTTACTCCTGAGCTAAAAGTTCACCATGCTTGTAGCTCTAAGAAAGAAAACATTGTGGCCAATAAATTACCAGATGGGCATTGATAACCTTGAGTAAAAGTTTAAGAATCCTTCTGGTGCCAACTAACAGACTAAATGTCCTGTTTCTTTGTACCCTGAATCTTTGTACGCGACTGCCATATCCCACGTGACTGCTAGTTCCTTGGGATGTATAAAAATCATCTGAATTTTAAAATAATTCGGCTTGTTGAAAAGACACAGGTCCCAGGGTCCAAGAATCTGTAGCCGATCAAGTCTCTCTGCCCTGAAACCAGTAGGTCCCCTGCTGAGCAAAGCAAACCCAACTCCCAACAGGAAGACCCCTCTTCTACAATTCTCTTCTAGAATTCTGGACACTTTCAATAAATCTTCCTAGTAATACCTTGAAATCTGTCATTAGAATTCAAGGTGCCTAGTTTAGAGGTACAGATAAGGAATATAACATAACCTTAGGTTTCACAGAATGTTGCTTTACAACTGCTGATTTTCTGCTGTATGTCTTACAGGAAGAAGCCTGTTTAGAGAGTAGTCACACTCTTCAGGGAGCAAACATCATAATATAACATAAACTGCATCAGAAAGATTTATATGGGAGAAAGCACGCTGTGGTCCCTTCATCCCAGCTCTTCTGTCCCTAGTTAAGGGAGTGCATATTCGGGACTTACTCATCTTGGCAGTATTACTTTTCTGAGCACACACGGCTGACCCGGTATTGTGGAAGACACCAAGGAAACAACATAGAGCAGAACAGACCCCGCTTCCTTTGCAGAGCATGTTCTAACATTCACTGCTTTTCTAAGGTAGTACCTGTTACCATTAGTTCTTATTTCTCCCTACTTATGAACTAGCAGTAGAACTTAAATCCACTCCCAAATTTAAAAATCCCTGTCTGTTATAGATTACTATTAGACATCAGTCCAGGTCTGAATGTCATCCTTAGTTGGACCCAAATTTCTTTGTAACCGTCAGATATTCTTCAAACTCTATGGTATGGAGAGTTAGCATTCTCTGGTATCATGACAGTCTTTCTCAAAACTGCTAAGTTTCAGGAAGGCTTATGTAGACCTTTAGTATTCTGCCATCTTAGCCAGTGTTCACCCAAAAGACAAACTACAAGTCTGAATTCTACCAGTTAGATAGCAGACAATCTCAAACAATGGGAAAAATTCCACTTTACCCCCAAAACACAATTTTAAATGGCTTGGCAAGGGAATGCTAAATCACATGCCTGACTTCAAAAGAATACATGGGGCCTTATCTCCAATGCCTAATGAGAACTAAATGCAGATGAGGACAGCCTACAACTCAGACTGTAGGTTTCATACCATGACTGCTAATTTTTATCTGTGTGACCTGGGGCAAATTCACTTTTCTGAGAGTCTATTTCTTTTCTTTTTTCTTTTTCTTTCTTTTTTTTTTTGGTCTTTTTGAGACAGGGTCTCCCTGTAACCCCAGCTGTCCTGGAACTCACTATGTAGACCAGGCTGGCCTTGAACTCACAGAGATCCACCTGCCTCTGCCTCCCGAGTGCTGGGATTAAAGGCGTGCGCCACCACGCTGGACAACAAAGAATTAAAGTTTTATGTATATGAGTGTTTTGCCTGCATTTATGTAAGTGTACTCATGTCATGCAATCCCAGTGAGCCAGAAGAGAGCTTGAGATCCCCTGGTACTGGGGTTAAGGATGGTCATTAGCCACCACGTGGGTGCTGGGAACTGAATCTGAGTCCTCTGCAAGAGCCATCTCTCCAGCCCCAAGATTCTATTTCTTTACATGAAAAATGAAGACAACAATAAGTTTCTCTTTCAGGATTATTGTGAGGACTATAAGAATAATAAAGCACCATCCTAAAACATAAGCATTTATTGCTAGTCATTCATATTGCTAAGTAATTATAAGGTGATTAATCACCAAACAGTGGGACTTTTACCAAATAATAGGAACTGGAAAGTCAATAATTTCTCTAAACTTGAAAAGGCACATATAATCATGGATATTTATATCTTTTAACCAAATAAAATCATTCCTTGCACCTCTATATTTTTGTTAATGTGATTACTTAAGTCAAAATATTTAGAATAGCCCATTAATCTCTACAGAATTCTCACACTTTCAATTCCAGCTTAAAAATTACTCTTCATGAGGTTGGAGAGATGGCTCAGTGTTACAAGCACTGGCTGCTCTTGCAGAGGACCCAGGTTTGATTCCCAGCACCTACATGGTGGCTAACAATGGTTCATAATTCCAGTTTCAGGGGAATCCAGCACCCTCTTCTGACCTCTGTAGGCACTGCATGACACAGGTGTACTTACATTCAGGCAATACACTCATAAAATAAAAATAAAATACTTTAAAATTTTTTAAAAAAATTAAATTACTCTTTATGATGCCCTACCAGCTCTCCAAAGAAAAATGCATTTTATGAATTTCCTATGAATCTCACAGATCTATAACTAAAATAACCTTAAAGTATCATCAGTATCATTCATTAAAAATGAAGTCCTTATATTATTAGGAAATACAAAACCACTGAAATGATCCTCTTTCTGCATCCCTCTTTCATTCCTCACTTCTGTACTGCCTTTAAATAGTGACCAACAGATTACAAAATCTCACTTTTTTTCCCCAATTTACAAGGGCCGATGAAATGGCTCAGTGGGTAAAGGTGCTTGCTGCCAAGGTTGATGACCTAAGTTTGATCCTTGGAATGCACAGGGTAGAAGGAAAGAAGAGACTCCTAAGTAGTCCTCTGACCTCCACACAGGTACCATGAGCTTGTGTGCAAACACACACAGAATAAATATTTTTAAGTCTTTAAAATCTTTATATTTAAGAAAGGCCAATGGCAACATTTTCTAACCTCCCCTACTTCCTTGTGTAGAGGAGACTCTCTCAATACTGACTGAATGAAATCCAAACAGCATATTATCATCTGCCAATAAAGCTGCAAGTGTGTATAGACTATCATCCCTACATATAAACAAATCTCTCTCTGGAACTTACCTTCTTCTTCATCATCTTCTGGAGGAGACGGGATCATTGAGCTCTGGGATCCAGACTGCGGCAGGCGAACTGAAGGACTTGCTGTAGTTTTCCTTCTCTCTCTCTCTGATTCACTTTCCAAACATACAACTTCATATAAAGTGTCAGCATTATTCTTCCTTTCCTTCTGCTTTATCTTGAGATGAGAAAGTACATATTATGTGGTAAAATTCTTTGTTTTTAACGATCACTATTGGCTTCATATAGAAATAAGGATAAATGGTGTTTCTTTGAATCCTAAACTAAATTTAACCTTTATCAAATAGAAAAGCATATGTTAAGACTTAAACCTTAGGAAAATTGAGCATTTACTAAGCAAGATTCTAGTTTTATAATTTTATCTGTCATTCAACTGTATCATCAAATATTTAACCATCAATATTTAGTCAATATGAAAGCTAATTCTGTGTCTTCCATATTAATTTGTCTTTTCAGGTTTCCGACATAAAACTACAAATCAAAAACTTCTACGAAGGTTATGACTAAAAAAAAAATCCTTTTCATGCCCCCCCACCCATTATTTCTGCTTAATTAAAACAGAATAGAGAATTTTTTTCTTAAACCAAAAGCTGTAATTCAGGGTAGGGGAAGAGCAGGGAAAAGGGAAAGGGGGTAAACGGCAGAGAGTATTAACAAAAATCACAACATTTTTGCCAACTCCAATTGATCTGCATTTTGGATTTACTTTTAGGGAGACAACAAAGTTACATGGACTTAATTAAAAACTAAAACACAGATAAAATTTTGTCAGTACAATAAACACCTTGAGTACCTTAAAATTCTTATTATAGCCGGTTGAAGAAGGGGAAAAAAAAAAAAGAAAGAAAATGAAATCCAGAGCAAGAAGAAAAGGAGATGGGAAAGAGTAGACACAAAGAAAGAAGTCCCAGGCCAGGGGACACAGCAACAGCAGAGCAATGGTGGAGACACACAAGTATCAGAGTAGATTTGATCATCCCAATCTCCACTGGGTTCTTTAAAAAGATGACCCCAATCTTGGGAGTAAAGCCAAGATGGTGGCAACATGTCCCTTTGATATCATCTGGAAGCTCAATTTAATGCAGCAGTTAATAAAATGGATCTTAGTCCTTTGGGCCAGCAGTTCCTTTCTAACAATGCATCTCTGTTGATAGAGGCCAAGTGCAGTCACGGAGTAAGCCCAATGTGGCTGTATTCCCATAAAATCTTACTGACAAAAATAATTCTCAGGCTAGATTTGACCCTCAGGTTATTATTTAGTTAGTTTAACATATCTATTCAAGGATTACTTGACTTTCTAGACAAATGTGTTTTTAATTTAGCTACTTACCATAAAGGACTCAGATTCTCTGAAGTTACATGAGCCTATAGGCTTGTATCCAGGAAATAGGCAAATGACTTCTGTCCAATAGAAAAGATAACCCAAAGGGTACCTATAGGACATTATCTTAGCAATCTTATTCTAACACTTTATATTTTGTTCAAAGGATGGACCAAGTAAACCGAAGTTCACAAATACTTAGAACCAGTTTTACCATTTTTCTGGTTAACTCATTAATTAATGAACTAAATGAAAATCCTTGACAAATTCACCCCAAATTTGTAATGATTGCAATTTAGCTTTTAAAAGCATACTGATGGGAAAACACTACTTCAACCTTTTGTTTTATTATAATTTTGTGGAACTGCTTTTTGAAACATCGCTTAATTGATATTCAAAGAGCAGCAACATCTCTTTACACTAAAAAAACAAAAATGAAGAAACAAAATTTCATCCATGACCATAAAAATAAGGTAACCAATATCATTCACCTAGAATGATTATATGTGACCACAGCAATATTCCTATACAGAGTGAAGAATGGAACCAAGCTTGCAAATCAAGAACTCCAGCTACAAAAAATGTTCACTGCTGAAGCATGAGGGATTCATCACACTATTTTAAAATCTGAATTTTTCTGGGGCTAGAGAGATGGCTCAGCGGTTAAAAGCACTGGGTGCTTTTACAGAGGACCCAGGTTTGGATCCCAGCAACCGTCTGTAACTCAAGTTCCCGGGAACTGCATGACACAGGTGCCCTTACACACATGCAGACAATACACTCAAACAAACAAAACCTCTGAATATGTTGTAATACATATTTACAATTTAAACATATAAGTTTCTAATCTAAATGCTGTTACACAATCAAATATATGTACAAATTACAATACATGTAAATTACAAATGCTTATTAATTTTTTTAATATCTTTTTTTTTTTTTTTTTGGTCTTTTTGAAACAGGGTTTTCCTGTAAACCCAGCTGATCTGGAACTCCTCAATATATAGACCAGGCTGGCCTTGAATTCAGAGATCCGCCTGCCTCTGCCTCCAAAGTGCTGGGATTCAAGGCATACACAACCATGCCCAGCAGATAAATTACATATATTTATAATTACAATGAAAATCAATCTGATAAAGAAAGGCAAAGCAGACTGAATAAATGAAATCATCCCAAGATGACTTCGCCACAGCACATGCATGGAGCTCAGAGGATTCAGCCTCTAATTTTATATTTCTAAAAATACCTAGGTAGTTTTATGTTCACCGTATGCCACTATTCAAAAATTTATTCTGTAGATCATTTTCCTCTTTCAGTAAACAGTACAGAACATTTAGCTCAAAGAAAGCAGCCTTTCTCTCCTTACTAATTTTTAAAGTTTCTTCTTTAATATGATGCCATCTTAATACAACAATTCCATAGCTGGGAAGGCTTCCAACCTAAAAAGGAGTTACTGAGTCACCAGATAATTTTAGTGAAAGTAAAACCAATCAATTTTTAAGTACATTAGAAAAATTTCTGGAGATCTAGGCCAACATGCACATAACGAGTTCCAGGTCAGCTGGGGCTACAGGGAGACCCTGTCTCAAAACAAACAGATGTCTCATCACTGACTCCCCCTGGCCAGGGAGGAAGACATGAAGGCTGCAGACACCACAAAAAGCCAAGCAGAACCTTAACCATAAAAAGAAAAAAACAAAAACAAACCCACATAATCCATCTGTCTCCTTGCAAAAGTGAAAGGTGGTTTTCTCCAATACTGATGTCCCGCTAACGAGAAATTCAAGCCAGCAAGTAACTGCTGCCTCTCCTTGCTGCACAGAAGCCAAAATGCCCTATCTTAAACACATGTGGACAGTGATAGACACAGGAAAACAGTAGCAATCATCATAATTAAAATTATGATCTGACCCCTCCTGTGAGCCTGTGACTGCCTCCCACATACATGAAGCTGTGGTCCCCATCTGTGAGCCTTGGGACTGTGGTCACCTACCGAGAACCTGGGCTTATAGCCCACTCCTGTGAGCTGGAGTTGTGGTTCACTCCCATGAGCTCCACATTAGTGGTGGGCCGATTGTAGAGCAGATTGGAGGGTAGAAGTGTTCTCCATGTCGGGCAGGAGTTTCAGCCCTCTCTGAGTGGCTGCATTTCCCACAGCCCCCTCCCCCTGAGGTACCAGGTTGTGCATGGCAGTAGCTTTGCCTCTGTGTTGGCTTAGGTTGGGGATGGGATGTCTCTGTCATTTGCAGATTTGGGTCTTAAAAAAACTGATTCTCTAGAATAGACCTGCCACCTCCCCTGAGGGCCAGTTGTGATCTTGACTCCACACACGGTTTTGAGCATCTAGGCCTTGATGTCAAGTAAACTGAGACACAGAGTTAAAAGAAGTTGCAAAATTCGAGTATTTAGACTAAAAATTTAAGGTGCTGACCCTATGCTAAACTCCTTCTCCTGTGGAGACTCAGGTTTTCTTTCAATCTCTTAAGATAATGTTAGAAGGAAAATCTATTTTTGTTCTGCTTCTTTTTGTCTAAATATACTCAGTACAACTAATCTTTATAAGCAAGAATAAAATTTGTATTGCTAGGGGAAGTATACTGAAGTAAATCCATATATAATACTTTAAATTTATATAATGGAAAATCAAAGTTACATGTAAATAAGCTTCATTCAACAACTACTTACTGAAATAAATAAAACTACTATGAGAGCTACTATGTTCTAAGTGCTTAGGATAAATTAGTGAAAAAAAGATTAAGAATCTTGCCTTAGCAGAGATTATAAAAAGACTAAGAAACATAAAAATAAATATGGTAAATAATAAAATAAACCTGGTATCTAATATACCACGAAAAGATGAAAGCTGATTGTGTGTGTGTGCACGCATATGAGAGAGAGGAGCAGAACACTGGCAGGAGCAGTGGAAGAGTGGGCAAACTGCAATATTAAATGAGCATTCAAGGTAAGTAAAGACAGGATCTGAAGGAGGTGAATATACAGGGGAAAAGTATTTCATGTGGAAGGAACAACTGCTAGCAAAGTCCCAAAAAATGTACATAGAGGACAATGTGCCATCAAAAGGAAAGACACATTTGTCTAGGATGTGATAGGTAGTACATTAGGTAGAGTCTAGAAAGCTAGAATAAGAATTGTAGCTTTTAATGGATAAGATAAGCATAAGGGTTTGGGGTAGAAAAAACTGATGTGATTTTATCCTGCTATACTGAGAATAAAACATAGGGTACAAAGGTACAAACAGAGAGATGACCAAAGAGGCCCTTAGAATAATAGAGTAGAAAGTGACGACACAGAACGAGGACTAACATAGTTTAGGTAAAGAGAAGTCGATTTAGGAGAGGTCTTGAAAGAAAACAAGATTTCTGTATAGACTGGATATGGAGCATAAGGCACAAAGAACAAAATTCTTGGTCCACGAAACTATTAGAAGATATCCATGAACGAAGACACTGAAAGTAGAGCATGTGAAATGAATGGGGTTAGTCTGAGATGTCTTGAAAATAAGTGAAGGGTGGGTGATCAATATCAAATGTGGCAGGCAGCTGAAAAGAGAACTGGGATTGGCAATGTAGGTCAATGGTGAAACTGATTTCATTAAAGGAGTTTTGTTATAAAGTGAAGTGAAATAAGACATACGAGCCCATGATGTAGCTCATGGCAGAGAACTTGCTCAAAAAGAGGAAGGAAGAAAGAAAAAGCAGAAGAGCCAGAAGGGGAAGGGAAAGGGGAAGGAAGGAGAAGGGGCAGGTAGCAGCAGTGGCAGTGGTGGCCAGAGTAATGAAAATGGGCATCAGTAAGTTGTAGGGAAATTGGGAGTCAAGAAAATCTAAATAATAGATTTACCCGCTGCCCATTACAGGAAAGATAGAGACTGACTCTTGTCAAAGTTAACTGCCAGCTAAGAAGAAAACAAGGAAAAAGATACTTTTCACAAAAGAATATACAGACTCTAAAGTGATGCAATATATTACTTAAAATGGTAAAAAAAAAATCTGAAATTACAATGCAGGCATAGAAACAGGAAAATATTAATCATCATTCCTTATGAATTAGTAGTCTATGATTTCCCAAGCAGGTAGTATGATGCTCAATTGTGTAAAAGAAAATCTGCTCATAAAAGAATGACAACAAAAATCTCAGAAAACAGCAACTACAAAAACAAAACAAAACATACAGAAAGAAATGTTTTGACATTTCAGAAATGGAAAGTATTAATTCTAAAACTTTAAAAATAAGTCTTTCAATAGCCATATAACATACAGAGGGTGACAAAACAGAATCTTACATCCAGTGAAAATATCATAGTAAATAGGGTGAAATAAAGACATGTAAGAGAATGTCTTAATCAGATCAGCCCTACAAGAAATGCTCAATGCTTTCAAGAAGAGAACAAATGAGACAAAGCAGAATCCCCAATCAGTGAAGAGGATTAGGAATTACAAATACAAATACACGGGTAAAATAGACAATTTTCCTCTTATATTTAAAATACATATGATTGTTTTCAAGATCTAATCAACAGTTTAATGACAAGTCAGAAGTGAATTCTCCTGTGTGTATTTATGGAAAAACTGAGTACCTGCTTTAGTTTCAAAAAGAAGTTTTCAGTAGTACTACGTTTGCTGAAAGGCCAAAATAATCTTTCATTAGGTGAACAAACACGGACTTTTGTCTCCAGGAGAAATCGGACAGGCTCCTGTACTTCTGTAATTACCAAATCGACAGCTGTAGTCATAAACAGTACTTTATCTAGAGAGAGAAGAAACAAGACAGAAATAAAAAAGATGGAAATATATTTTCTCATATAATTCCTGAAGAATTACTTTTATTGTTAAGATATGTTAAGGTCAACCATCAGAAGTCTGTAAATAAACATCTAAAATAAGACAAATACTATTTTTTTATATTGAGAAATTTGTTCCAAAGTACACTCCCAGAAGTAGAACTGAAAAGTGACAGCACTACATATCTTAAATTTAAGAAATGGGCAGATGGATAGGTTTGTAGAAGTGGCCTAGGTCTTTCTTGGCCTCCCTCACAAACATTAAAAACTCTCTTCCTTTTAAACTTGGCTAATAATGGCATCTTATTCTTTAGAACTGTCTATATCTTTCATCCACTTACCTATATTATTGTTATTAACAGAAAACTGAAGAAACCGCTGTGATTCTCTTTGGGGGATATATGGACTGGGACAGATTTACTTTTTTAAAAATATCCTTTGAGCGAGCACTGGTGGGGCGGCGATTCCTCACGGTCCGGTCCATGGCCGGCTGGCAGGGCAGGACGGTCCCTACACCTCGGAGGCCCAGGGCAGCGGGGGACGTGGCCCTGGTCAGGGAAGGGGGTTGAGCCCAAGGCCTAGAGCCCAAGGCCTGCTGGCGGAAACAGCCCGCTGCAGTGCCAGGGGCTGAGCGGGCTGGTCTCCAGCTATCCTTGCATGTGGCGGAAGAATGCTACTTCTCTTGAGTATGAGATGCCGGGTGTCTGGGGCGAAACTGAGAGGCCTGTGGACGAGAACTCTGCCACTCACCAGAATTTAAGCCTCTCAGAGGTATATGACAGAACTAAAGAAGAAGACAACCAAGGGTCATCTCAAATTGTGACTGGCTCACTGATAATCCCAGGAAAAAAAATTAGAGATCACAACTTGAGCACAAGAGGTGCTTGACATAAAGGCTTGGGCTGCGTACCTTGTGGAACAGGCTGCAAAGGACCTATATGGCTTCCTTACAACAGTTATTTTGGCCCTCGCTCCACTGTTCCTAGCTAGTGCTGGTCTGCCCTGGAAGTTGGCCAAGATGATTGAAGCCAGGGAGAAAGCAAAAGAAGAAACAAAAATGTCTAGAAAATATTGCAAAAGCTAAAGGACTAAAACAGGATTGAAGGAACAAACTGGCTCTGCAACTAGAGAGAAATCATTTGGAAAATTATGCAGCTTTGGAAGGACTCAAATAAGGTTTCATTTGATTTCATGATAGTATGATTAATAATTTAAATCTGACCCTATAAATTATGTCCTGACCTCAGTACTGTAGTAATTTTAGGCTTGGAATCTACTGTCAGACATTATAAATTAACATTTATTATACAGGTGGTGCATCCCTAAATTCAAAACCCTTAGTGCTGCAAAATCTGACCCCTGTGTGCAGACATGATGCCAAAAGTGGGACATTCCACATGGAGCTTGTGATGGGGAGGGGGGGCGGAATCAAAACACAGGTGCAGTAAAAATACATGGAATGACTTTCAAACTATATGACATACAAATGAACTTTGTGTTTAGATGTGGATCCCTTCCTCAAGATATTATGCAGAAACTCTACACCTTGAAAAATAAGCATTTTTGTAGGTTCAACCTATAGTGAAAACAGCTGACAGTTTGCCATTTTGGAGCTTATGTGCTCAAGTGAAAAACATTCTGCACAGAAAAAAGGCTTTCAATTATGAATCCTATTCAAATGGTCGTTTAAGATGGGATTCAAATCTGGACAGAGGGTATTAGGAATGTAAAAGAATTATTCTCTGAGGTGAAAAATTTACCTTAGTTTAAAAGAGATATATTAATCACAATTTAAAAATCATTGCTTATTTCTTGAAATAAAGCATTTCTTTCTCAAAAGAAATATTAATATGTCTTTCCTTTAGCCTTTCAGACAACTGGTAATTATTAAGACATTCTGCATTTTTAAACCTAATTTTATAACAAATTCTCATCTTGACCATGTAGAACATGTAGGCTAATTTTTGTACTTCTGGAAACTCCCATTTCCTTAGTGGAGGTAGGAAGTTGTGCTGGATAGCTTTAGTGTCAACTTGACACACCTGGGTTGAGGGAGCCTCAATTGGGGAATTGTCTCTATTGGACTGGCCTGTGGCCATGTCTAAAGGGCATCTTCTTGATGAGTGATGTGGGAGGGCCCAGCCCACTGTGGGTGGTGCCACCCCTGGGCAGGTGGGCCTGTGTTGCATAAGAAAGCAGGCTGAGCAGGGGCCAAGGGAGCAAGCCAGTAAGCAGCGCTCCTCCATGGCCTGTGCTCCAGCTCCTGCCTCCAGGTTCCTGCCCTGAGTTCCTACCTCGGGCTCCCTGATGAACCGTGACCTGGGAGATGTAAGACAAATAAACCCTTTCCTCCCCAAGTTAGTATTGGTCAGAGTATTTTGTCACAGCAATGAAGAACAAACTAGGACAGAAGTGTAACGGGTCCAAAGCTTGCCATGGAAATGCCAAGTGCAGTTGGTACCATGGGATCAGTTTCTTATGCTGACTACAACTGTGGAGGAGTTAAGTCTTATCAGATAATTTGCTGATTATGTAAATATACTTATTTACATTAATTTGGTAGTGCTGTCTGGTTAATTTTTAGTCACACAGATTCAAAGCAAAAATTAAAATTTCACATTTGTGAAATCATACTTCATTACTGAAAAAGAAAGCCTCAAAATTTTGAAAAATTTTGCTGGGCATAATAGTGATTTTAAGAACTGGATAAAATGGCAATTAGAAGTTCAAAGCTGAAAGACTTTCCAGTGGTAAAATGACCCTTTTGCCTATTAAATAAATATGGCTTTTCTAAAGGTATGGTCCATTAACTCCATTAATTGCTTATTAATGTCTTCTGCACCTCTGGTGATGAATTTTAATTAGAGTAATTGTCCAATGGTGTAATAAAAAATATGAAACTAAATATTGAAATAAATTTGACACTTTTTAATAAAGAAAAAAAATCCTTTGAATTTTAACTATATATGCATAAATTATCTCCATGAAATAACATTTAGAAACCTGTTAATAAGTATAGAAACAGAAAATAAAAGACGAGGGATCGGCAGGAAGTCTCAGTGGCTGAGGGTGGTGCCCGCTGCCAAGCTTGACAACTTGAGTGTGATCTTAGACACGACATGGTAGGAGAAAACTCTTACATGCTATCCTCTGACCTCCAGGTGTGCCTGGCATGTGTGTGCCCTCTGCCTACATACATACATACATACATACATGTGGTAAAAAAAAATAGGAAGGGAAAAATGAAGATGGGAAGGAAAGTCAATAAGCAAAAATTATAATCTTTATAGGAAAAATTTAGTAAGAAACTCAAGAAATATTAAAATTCTTTGTTTCTGGTTAAGGAAATCATAAGCTGTGGGTAATCAAAGTGCTCCTGTTAAAAACCTGTATCACCTTTAGGAGTTTCTTCATTCACAACTTGAAAATGTGGGGATTTGGGATTCCAGCTTCCAGTAATAACATAAGACTTTCCATCTGAACTTTTACCCATAGACTCCTAAAGAAAAGAGTAAAAATAAACCTTAATGCCAAAGTGGGTGAACAACAGTTAACCCTCATTTATCAGCTTTTAAAAATATTTTATTATTGTTATTTTATGTGTTCCTGCATGTGTTTAAGTGCACCAGTGTTGTGCAATGCCCACAGAGGTCAGAAGAGGGCACTGGATCTCTTGAAACTAGAGTTACAACCATCCCACCATGTGGGTCCTGGGAATTGAACCCAGGTCCTCTGCAAGAGCAGTCAGTGCTTTTAACCAATGAACCATCTCTCCAGCCCCCATTTTTCAGCTTTTAGAAAACAAGAGTTAAAAGTATTGTACTGATGTTGAGTTTACGGTAAGTCTCCAAAATATGCACTAGAAAATACAAAGTTTGAGGCTCTAAAACACAGCAGAAATTTTACATTTCAAGTCATCCAAAACAACAGCTTATGGTCTCCTCCAAATTGTTCATAGTGGGAGAGTTCTATGCCAGGAAAGGGTGGATCCAATGTCTTAGAGAACCAATGATAAATTTGCAATTGACTTGCCATGTATCAGGATAACCAGTGGTTGCAAACAAGTTTTACTAATTGCAGACCATCTGAGTAAGTATGTCAGATCCCTGTGTACATGCTAACTTAGTTATATCACCTCCTGTAACAGATCCAACTTTGAGGGTGTTTATGAAGCACTAGTATGCTGGCATTAATGGCGTATGTTTTGATTCGAGGGACAAATTAGCTGCCATGCCCCAAAATGATAAGACAAGACTATTCCACTTGTCTCTGCAACCATTAACTTGAAGGCTTTTTCTAGATGCAACACACTCATTCCAGAGGAATAAAGAACGAAAATAGTTGTTTGCCTTCGAAGTTCATCACTGCAGGCATAACTACTCACACTCGTAACTGCTCAGCTTTTTCTGGGATGAAACAGCAAACCATTATAGAAATCCGAATGGCCCTCTAAAACCTTATATTAATTTTTATCTCAATGATCTTCAATAATCTAATTTTCATATCAGCAGTTGAAGAACAGAATTTTGATTAGTTGGGGAAATGAATCAAGTCTAGTTTCTGGACTCTAAGCTATATTATCAGCTCAGACTTTGAGGTGAAACATTCATAGTGTCTGGTACTGAATTTTTTCCACATCATTTCTTTCTCCTAAAGGAACACATGCCAAACCACATAATTACAGCCACCGTATGCAATTATGGTTACTGAATCTCAAAGGCATCATTTGCTCCCACGTGCACATAAACGTTGCAGTCCACAGTGCAGGCAGCTTTTCTGTGGCCACTTGTATCATACTGTATGCCAATACTCAAATAGCTGTAATAAAATAGCCTTCTACTAGACAAGGCATTGATGATAAAAGCTAGTCAAGTATCAGCTGCATATGAATAATGACAGATAAGATTAAAGACATCAATTATTAGCCCAGCACTGGGAGGCAGAGGCAGGTGGAGCTCTGTGAGTTCAAAGTCAGCCTGGTCTACATAGCAAATTCCAGGCCACCTGGGGCTACAGGGAGACACTGGCTCAAAAAAACCAAAAAAAAAAAAAAACCAAAAAAAACCAAACACAAAAAAACCCGTATCAATTATTTGTAAAGCTGTTCCTAAAAAGTTATGTGTAAGGTAAATGTGTGTCAATCATATCAAATGGAAGAAATAATGGTGAAATTTATTCCCCTCTTAAAAACATGCTGAATTCTTCCACCAACAGAGTGATCATCATGCGACTTAGTTTTGCAAATAAAAAGATCTGAATACACATACTAGCAATAATCCTAATACTTCCTACTGCTTCCATAAGTTTTTATTTTATTTTTTTCTTCAATTTCCTTTTTTTCTTTAAGATGAGATCTTACTATGTAGCTATGGCGGGCCTCAAACTCATGATCTTCCTGCCTGCCTCAGTCTCCCAAGAACTAGAATTACGAACTCGTGCCACCATGCTCAGTTCCTCCTTTTACTTGTTAAGCACATGACAGCTTGATTCTCACATCACTCCTACCTGACAGGTGAACAGGAATTATTATCACTACTACACATGTCAAGCAACCAAGGCTGAGCTACTTATCCAAGGTCAGACTTACAAGTTCCATGTCAGGAGTAAGGAAGTTCCCTTATCTTTGTATACTGTTTTATAGTTTACACAAACACCTACATAAACATGGAATGTTTAAATCTGACATTCCAATGAGATAAGGTAAAGCAACATTCACATTAAGGCAACAAGTCTATGACCTTCCAATAAAAACCAACCACAATAAAATGGAAACAAATCAACCTTACCAAATCTAACAAGTGCATATCACTATTTCTGACATCTTTTCCTGGGCTAAGGAGAAGACCAAAACACCTGTGAAAAGAGAACTGACATAAATATGTGAATAAACCAATAACGCACACAAATTAAAAAATTTTGAATTATAGGTGGAAAAGGGCAATTTACTGGAATAATAGTGTTGTGAAAATCATCATTACTTCTTCAACTGAGTGAAGCAAATTCTGACATTAATGACCACATAATGGAAATTAACATATTAACTAAAGAATTAACTAACTAAAGAATTATGAGAGATTTCAAAATAATGAAACATTCACAATAAGCACAAAAGAATTCCTTGGAGGGCAAAACACTTTGAAACAATTTATTTTTACTTTAGTTTGTTTTTTGAAACAGGGTCTCCCAGTAGCTCCAGCTGGCCTGGAACACCCTATGTAAACCAGATTAACCTCAATCTCACAGAGATCTGCTTGCCTCTGCCTCCTGAGTCCTGGGATAAAGGTGTGCACCACAATACCCACAAGGCACTTTTAATTATGTGTGTGAGTACATGTATGTGTGTGTTGGGTGATACATGGATGTCAGTGCAAGAAGTACTGAGTGCCCCAAGAGCTGGAGTGGCAGGCAGCTACGAGCTGCCTGATGTGATTACTGGGAATTGAACTCAGGTCCTTTGGGAGAACAGTAAGTGCTCTTAACCACTGAGCAATCTCTCCAGCCCAAGGTCAAATACTTTGCAAATAACTTTTTAATATAGTGTACTGACTACTCCATTAGATTGAGACAAACCAAAATTTATATTTAAGCTAAACTTAAAAGAATGCTTACCTTTCAATAGCAAGTTCTTTATTAGTGGTTTGTTGCACATAGATGACAATCTTCTTATCAATTCCTTGGCGAAGTTTAAAGCATTGTCTGTCCTTATCTTTGGGAACAGAACTGAAAGGCCAACACATCTCATCAGTGCTGCAAACTATGTTATCGAACATCATAACAAATTTTTTTAAGACCTCAAATTTCTTTCCTTCCTATGCCTAGTTTACAAATAATAGGAAAAAAAAAAAAAAAAAAAAAAAAAAAAAAAAAAAAACAAGAAGAAGAAAATCACCATCTGCTTCTTGATGTGAAAGTATAATCCCACTAATCTACCAAGGCACTTATAAAAGCTAGAAAATTTACACTATACCTCCTAAAACAGTGGCTTTAGTGTCCACTCTTGTCAGAGTCTCTCTGTACCCCCAGCTGTCCTGAAACTTGTTCTGTAGACCAAGCAGGCCTCAATCTTACAGAGCTCTGATTGCTTCTACCTCCCAAGTGTCAGGATTAAAGTCACGTGCCACCAAGCCCAGGTGTTCACTCTCTTTGGTTGCTATGAAAATTAAGTTAGACAACTATAAGGTACCTATCATTGGCACCTAAATGTACAGAGCTAAAAAGATATTAATTTCCTTTGCTCTATATAGCTGGTCCCTGGACTGTGTCATTTGCTTAAGTACATGAGGAAAAAGATACTTAAGCACAGATCCTTTGAATTTCATAAAAAGTTGTCTTTAAAAAAATATCAGAGATGAGGAAGATATTGCCTCTTTATTGTCTAACAATGGCAGTTATTATCCTTAGATAGTGATAACCTTATTAATATTAATGTTATTATTAGAGACTTTTGGGGGGGGGGTCTTTTTGAGTTAGGGTCTCTCTGTAGCCCCAGCTGGCCTGGAACTCCTTATGTAGACCAGGCTGGCTTTGAATTCAGAGAGATCTGCCAGCCTCAGCCTCCCGAGTGCTGGAATTAAAGGCATGTACCATCACACCCAGCCAAGACTGACTGCTTAAAAAATAATTCAGTATTTTATTTATGTGTATAAGTGTACTGCCTGCATGTTTGTAAGTGCACCTGTGTCATGCAATGCCTGAGGTCAGAGTTACGGTTGGTTGTTAGCGTACATGTGGTACTCTCAACTGTTGAGCCATCTCTCCAGCCCCAATAATTAACTTCTTAATTTAGCAAAAAGGAGAACATGAATAACTTTTTGACCACCTCAATAATTATTTATTTATTTATTTTTGTTTTGTGTGTATGCATGTTACAAATGTTAAGACAACAATCCAGGGTTTCCGTGTAGTGCAATGCCCACGGAGGACAGAAGAGGCTGTCAGATCCCCTGGAACTGGAGTTATAGATAGTTGTTAGCTGCCATTTGGGTGCTGGGATTCAAACCCGGGGTCTTCAGCGAGAATAGCCAGTGTTCTTAAGCACTGAGCAATCTCTCCGGCCCCACATTTGTTAAGTCTTTATTATCTGTTTGCTATGTGGTTTTTACTGAATGTGTAGTTTACGATAAATGCTGTTTTGTTACTCCAATTCAGTGGTGACGCCATAGACAAGTATGCCTTTGTCAGATTTGAACTTCTCTAATCCAGTTCCTTTGCCGGGGATTCTGTAATATGTGTAGGAATTTAGCTATAGAAATAATTACTGGGGCTGGAGAGATGGCTCAGTGGTTAAGCACACTGGTTGTTCTTGCAGAAGACCTGGGTTCAAATCCCAGCACCCACATGGCAGCTAACAACTGTCAGTAATTCCAGTCCCAGGGGATCCAACAGCCTCTTCTGACTTCTGTGGGCACTGCATGACATTAGTGTACTTACCTACATGCAGGCAATACACGCATACACAAAAAATAAAAATAATAAATTAAATATTTTTTAAAAAAAGACTTAACAGATGTAACCCAAGTGTGGTGGCACACACCTTTAATCCCAGCATTCAGGAGGCACATGCAGGCACAATCTCTGTGAGATTGAGGGCTGCCTGGTCTACACAGTGAGTTCCAGGTCAGCTGGGGTTAGAGGGAAACCCTGTCTCAAAAAGACCAAAAAAAAATAAAAGAAAGACTTAACAAATGTTAAGGCAATAATCTAGAGTTTCCTATCATGGGCCTCCTTGGAATGAGAGCAGATGGAACAGGGAGGGTTATGTTCACTTTCCTTTCATGGGCCGGCTATCTGAAGGGAGAGAAGAGAGCCTAGTGATTCGCTTCTGAGCTCAATTTTTCCTAATCATGAAAGAAATGTATAAGCAGGAATTATGTAAGTATCTTCAGTAAAGGAAAAAAATAGTTTAAAGAAATTTTTGACCCTTTTTAAAAAATACAAAACTGTGTAAATTAACTTTCCTTTTCTCAGGGTGGGGATGTATACTGCTGGAAAAAGTATTTCACAGTGTTGCTTTAAGAATGGAAATACAGGGGCTGCAAAGTTGCTCAGTGGTTAAGAGCACTGGCTGATCTTGCAGAGGACCCAGGTTCAGCTCCCAGCATCCACATGGCAGCTACCAACTGTCCTTAACTCCATTTCCAGGGGATCTGATACCCTCTTCTGGCCTCTGTGGGCATTGCATGACTTTTTTTTTTTTTTTTTAAAAAGGGTCTCCCTGTAGCCCCAGTGGGCCTGGAACTTGCTATGTAGACCAGGCTGGCCTTGAACTCAAGGATCCTTCTGCTTCTGCCTCTCAAGTGCTGGGGTTGAAAGCATTCGCCACACGCCCAGCGGCATGGGTGCATTTACAAACATGCAGGCAAAACACTTGTACACACAGGATAAATTTTTTAAAAAAAAGAATGAAAATATAGGGCCAGTGAGATTGTTCAGTGGGTAAAGGCATCTACCACTCAGCAACCTGAGTGGGACACATGGTAAAGGAGAAAGCCAACCAAACAAATTGTCACAGACACAGACACACATACATGTTTAAAAAATAGAAATCTAGCTGACAGAAAACAACACATGATATCTAAGTTTAACCCTCAAAGTTGAAACTTTGTGCCCTAATTGGCCACTAGATGGCATGACAAAGCCAAAGTCTAAAGGATGACCAGTACCAGTTTTCTAACAAAACCAGTTACTGTGTTTTTCATTTAAAAGTACTTTTTAGAGACCATTTATAGTTTCATATAAACAATTTGATGACACTAACAGAGACTTGTAAATATAAGTATTAATATGACTACTCATTTTGTGATGAGCTATATGAGAAAAACAGTCATCTTGCAACCATGATTTAACTTTAAAGTTAGAAAGGATTTTATTAGAAAAGATTTGAGAGTCTAGCCACTGCAATTCATAAATAAGGAAACTGTAGACTGGAGAGATAAAGGGATTTAGAAAAGGTCACATTATTAGTAGTAGCATTAACTAAACCTAAGTTTTGATTTTTTTTTTTAAATTTATTTTTATTTTATATGTATGAGCATTTTGCCTGTATGTAAGTCCAACTGTGCATACAGCACCTGCAGAGGGCGAAACAGGGTGTTAGATCCCTGAAACTGGAGTTATGGACAGCTGTTAACCGCCATGTGGGTGCTGGGAACCAAACCCAGTTCTACTAGAGCAACCAGTGCTCTTAACTACTGAGTCAACACTCTCTAGCCCCAATTCATTTGTTCTTTCTTTGTTTCTTTCTTTTTTGTTTCTCTGCTAAGGTTTGATTTTTATCCCAGGGTTTTTACCATCACTCAAAGAAACATCACTTTATTTAAAAACCAAACCAGTCAGGTACAGTGGGTTACACCTGTAATCTCAGGCTTTGAGACTGCCTTGCAAGACTACAGTGAATTTGAGGCCAGCCTGGGCTACCTGTATTACAAAGTTTTGTTTCTTTCTTTTTTGTTTCTCTGCTAAGGTTTGATTTTTATCCCAGGGTTTTTACCATCACTCAAAGAAACATCACTTTATTTAAAAACCAAACCAGTCAGGTACAGTGGGTTACACCTGTAATCTCAGGCTTTGAGACTGCCTTGCAAGACTACAGTGAATTTGAGGCCAGCCTGGGCTACCTGTATTACAAAGTGAGACCCTATCTCAATAATAATA